AGCTCGAATGCACTCTTAAGTGGTGCATAAGCACCTTTTTTCACATTTAAGGCCACCAATGCTGGATATCCATAACCACCGACACCTACACGATTCTCGAGGTCTGGCTGCTTACCAGCAGCTGCCCAGACATAGCTGCAACATACATGAATATTCATGGTCAGTAACTATATATTCAGCTTCTCAAGCAAGAGAGGTTTGATTGGGGATGATTTATGCATTATTCCAGACACTTCCGCATGAGAGAGAGAGAGAGAGAGAGAGAGAGAGAGAGAGAGAGAGAGTGGTAAGAGAATTCCCAAAAACTTGCCTATAGGGACTCCTTTTGAACTTCTCTGCAACGGATAATAACTGCTGAATGTATTTGTTCCTCCCTTCTGCCTTGGAATCCAAGATATCAGGTAGGAAAGCGACAAAACAGATGGCAGCAGAACCACATTTCTCTTCCATGACATCCTACAAGGGAAGATTATAGTAAAGCTTTAGTCCCCTAGGTTACTTACATTTTCACACAGCTTAATTATTGGAAGGAAGCTAAGAGCTTACAGGGCCAGTTAACTCGGTCACTTCAGCAGGTGCAACATTTGTTTCCAATTGTTCAAGAGCAAATGATTCAATGGCTTTAGCAGTCCTTGCACCCTCATAGGGGAGTGGGGTATCCTTGTCAGCTCCAAATATCAATATGGTTGGGAATCCTTGAACATTGAACCTGCTCATCAGAGACTGGTAATGCCACCTCATTAGAACCATATAGTACAAGAAATAAAAACATGTAAATCCAGTACATACTACCATCCCACCCTGGCCTGGTTTCCCAAAAAGAAAAGCCTGAAGCCAAACTTACCTTCTCTACATCACAGTCAACGTGTCCCAACTTCACCTTCCCCTGCAAGTTTTTAGCGGCCTTCTTCCACTCAGGTGCCAATTTTTTGCAGTGCCCACACCTTTAAGAAAAAGGAAATTGAAAGAAAGTCGATAATTTGCTACAAGCAGGTGCACTTTAAGTTCATATAGTAGACTGAGAGATTATTATCTGAAAATAGCTTATAAGATCATCATACCAATTAAAAGCACTTACCAAGGTGCAAAGAACTCCACAATCCAGAGTTCTTTACTTTTAACCACCAATTCATCAAAATTCTGTGAATTTAATTCTACTGAAGCATTAGGTTCAGATTTTTCACTTGGTCCTCCTGTTGCTTTTCCACTTAAACGGTCCTTCAACAACACCTTTATCTGTGAAAGACAATGGCATGGTCACATAACTAATACTTCAATGCATTTTATGCAAGAGGATTATATGACCAAGTGAGACAAATGATTATCACCGTCTATCCATCCCATGAATAAGTCCTAAAGCAAGATAAGACATAGTGGAGCAGACATGAATACACAAGACTGTCTCTATTACAAACAAAAGAATAAACTAACAAAAAAATAATAATAATAATTTTGAACAAGAGATTACAAACCTGTTGGAGTGCAAATTCTGCAATGGGTTTCACATCCCTTGCTCCCTGATAGTCAACTGGAGGTTTCCCAGGTACAAACACCTTTATTGTTGGAAATCCTCTAATCCCATATTCCTATAGAGCAATCAAACACATCAACACCCCAACACAAAATTAACGTATTAGGAAACATTAGGAAAATACAAACCAGAAATCTTCAGATTTCCTTGTCCATATACTTCAAAATTATTAAAGAATGGGAATGAATTTTCATGCAACCTAATATATGAATCATATGGTTCGATTAAGTTATTTGAAGGCAGAGGGACGTTGGTAATCTACTATTGCATCTTCAAACTTAGACGTCAAAATTGGCAATTGCAAGAGTAACTATAGGAAACCTGAGCAAGGGACTTGTGCGCATCAGCATCAAGAGCTGCCACGGTAGCCACACCCTTTAAGACAGTAGCCGCCTTCTCCCATATAGGTGTTAGAGCTTGACAATGTCCGCACCATGGTGCAAAGAATTCAACCAGAACAACTCTATTCGAGTCCAGAACCTGCCACCATTGCAAAGGATTCAGTTCGAGGCAATACTAGTCAGATTGTGGTCTGATCCAATGTCTTATTGATCACATCATATGATCGCAAACGAAAATAACAATCACATTAAAAACATTTGTAAGTAATATACTATCCTAGGAATCCATAATTAACCCAATAAGAATCAGAACTTGTTGATCATATATCAAATGAGAAAAGAAAACAAAAACAAAACCCAAAATAGAAAGTGCATTTAACTAAGCAAATGCATTACATAAGTTCCAATCAGTGCAAAATTGGCTTGCTTTTCTAAACCGAAAATCCCCAAGAAGCTATGAACCAGATCTAATCCCCGAACAGTCAAGTAGCAAACATGACTAAATCCCACTAAATTAATAAGCTCAGTAAGAACTAAAAGTCTAAAACCAATAAAAGAAAGAACTTTGCTTTGCTTTTCGAGGGCCAAAACCCAAGGGGCATGCTTGCTTTCAACAGAAATAGAATTACTTCTGAAATGAAAACCAATCAATGCCCAGGTGCTTCTTTCGATCAAAATGGTGACGAATTCCAATAAATTACAAAAGATTAAGGAACTGGAAAAGGGTACGCTACAGTTACTGCTAAATATTCAAAATTTACCTTGGACTTGAAGTTGGAAGGAGTTAGCTGAAGAACTGGCGATGATGGTCCGTACAGTGCATCACAGACACTGAAGACGAAGCAAAATAAGAAGCTGATTGACAAAGCTCGAAATTGATTACCTCTCATTCTCATTCTCTCTCTCTCTCTCTGAGATTTGTTCTACGAATCAGTTCAGAAACCTCTCGAGGCATAGAAGACAAAGCGGGCCTTTACTGGGTTTTGGGCTGTGGGCGGAGCTACGTGTGTGGACCAATGACAGATTTACACGTCATCTGGCCATGGTTTCTCATGAAATTTATTGGTGTTTTTTGTTCTTTATGATTTGTTCGTCACGATTTGGACCAATGGGGTTGCTCTTAGCTTGATCATAAAGCAATAAACATTTTTTTTAATCAAATTTTTATAATAAAATAAGAGATTTGCTATTTAAACCCCGCACTTCACTTTGTTCACCCCAATACTTAAATCACTACTTAAATCTTTAAGACAAAAAAGGTCATCCAACTTAATAATTAACTCTAGTACATCTATACACACACCCCACACACCCCACCACTCTTCATATTAATTAAGTTTTAGAAAAATACAAACTCCTCTACATCCTATTTAAATTGGATCAGGACAGAGTTAAAGTATAAATTGGATCAGATCAGGACAAACTGCTCTACTTAGAGAGAGGTAAAGTTGTTCTCTTTCTCTAGAAAGTATTAAATTTCGGATTTGGGGTTCCATTTGTTTGTGTTTTTTTTCTTCTGGGAACAAAGAAAATTGTGGGGTTTAAATAGAAAACCTCTTTTATTTCTTTTTTTTTTCAATTTGGAGTGTATTTAAGGGTAGTTTGGAAAGATAGTGGGATTTTCTTAGAAATTGTGAAAATTTAAATTAAAAGATGGGGTGAACTTAGAACATGGGGTGAACTAAGAGAAGTGTGGGGTTTAAATAGAAAATCTCTAAAATAATAGTGCTCAAGCCCTAATTATTTTTTATTATGAAATTATGAAATTCCCTTGTGCATACCAATGTCTTATAAAATCTATAAAAAAAGTAAAAATAAAAAACTATTACCTATTGAAAAAAGATTTTGGTTTCAAATCTCTCTCCAAATAAAAAAATAATAACGGATAAACTTATAGTTGGTACAAGTTACAACTCAAAGAAATATCCAAGAAACAATTTTTTTTTTGTAGAACATTTTTAATTTCTTTTTTACATTGGAAAAGCTAGTAATAAGTTTATGGCAAGCATATATATTTGATTTTTCAATATTTTTTTATTCGAATAAAATATATCATGTAAATGGAAGCAGCTATAACATCAGAAATATATCGATTCACTTTTAATTTAGTTGGAAACAAATATAAATATGAATAAAATTGGAAGATGAAATGAAATTATTGTTTGATCCATTCAACTTTTTCCTAATGAGCTAAGAAACCAAAAATCTCCACTCTCTCTCTCTCTCTCTCTCTCTAACAAACTGAACGTAACATCCTCAAGCTAAGGCTTGCAAGAGCGTTACAAAAGCAAGAAAAAGACAAGGCCTATGGGTCATGACAATGTTCTCATTCATTTATGAAATAACAGAAGAAAAGCAAGTTTCATGAAAACTACAAACTCTTGCTCTTGTAGAGTAGCTTACACAATTTCCGTGTGATATGCCAGAGCACACTTTCAACTCCTAACTATATATATGTATAAGCTGAGCAAGCCCCAAAAACCCACCATTGCCAACTTAGGAGAGTGAGGTACTTTAACTTATGAGAAGCACAGCAAAGAAGCTTAAGAGGATGGAGAAGCTCATCAATTTGGTTAGCAAGCTGAAGAAGATGTTGAGGTGCTCAGCTGACAGGAACCTTAATCGGCAAGTTAACGTTAGAGCTTCACCGCCTTGTGCTGTTCGCTGCGAAGAGCTTTTCTTGCCTTCGAAAAGAGCAAAGGGCCATCGAACAAGAAACAATCAAGTCAATCCTTTTTTAGCAGTTCATGCTGCAGCTCAGGATCATTTTGCTCTCAGACCAAACATCTGTATTTGAGAAGACAGAGATGGCAAGGTTACTGAGTTATTGTTGAGTCTTCTGTCTTGTAATGATCTTGGTGGAAAAGAGAGCTTGTTTGATCCTCTCAGTGAGCTAATTATAATAACAGTTGAAGCTGCCTAGTTTTTCATTGCCTTTTCATAATTATATGGTAATATGAAGCCTAACATTACAGCACATGCTCATCCAGATGCAAATAATCTGTAATATTCTGTTCTGTGATTAATTTGTTTTTGTTAATCATATAATTAGCCTCTAATTAAGGGCACCTAATGCAGCATTTGAAAAGCATGTTCAACCTGCCTACCTACCACAAGCCTTGTAGACATAGTTATAAATCTCATTATTAATGGTGAACAAAACCCTACAGAAGGAAATGTGTTATAGACTGCAAAAGTAACTAAACTCTCAATGGAGCCTGAAGAAGGCCAGTAGAGGACCATACACAACTTGGTTGGCATTCACACTCATAATAAAATCTACATGAGCATACTCCTCTCTGTATTGTACCACAAGCTTGTCCCTGTCATGATCTCTGAGCTTGTCAAGCAAAATCCCCACATCGTTAATGTCAGCAATCGAATCTCTCCCTCCATAGCTGAAGAAAAGAGGAACGTCTTTCGGAATGTTTGCCATGTTGTACACAGGAGGAGTGGGTTTCTTGTAGTGTTTTATGTTAGTGTCTTCAAGACCATAATCATACATTTCTACGGTTCCCTTTCTGACAACTTTCCAAAATCAAAAAACAAGGAGCAAAAATTGAAATTTTGTAAGAACTTAATTTAATTAGACAGGATTTCTGAGAAATGAAACTTTCAAAACAGATACTACAGTTTCTATTATACTTTAGATATTACAACTCACCATTACTGAACCTGGAAATGAAAGAGACTTACTCTGAGACAGATGTATAAGGTTTTTCGTCGCGGTTGGCTGTGGATCATGTTCAACTAAAGCATCTATGCTTGAAGAATTGAGGCAGCAATTTGGGCCTGGAGATTGCAAAAACAAAAAATCAATTCAATCAAATAAAAGTGTGAATGAGCAAGCCTAACATTGCTACTACCTCCTATAGCTGCCAGGAGGTTTGAGCAGTCAATGCCCCGTGTTGTGCAGATAAACTCCACAAGTTGTTGGATCTGCCTGTTAGGATTTTGAGAAGAACAAAAGATCTAAAACTTTGTACCAAGTTGAGTTAAGTTTATGATATTATCCGCATGTGCCTTGACTAATGAAGCAAAATTGATTAAGTTTCTATCTCACCCATTTGGAAATTCCAGCCAGCCCAACAATTTCAGTTTCTGTTAAATAAAACAAGAGAACATTTGGTCAGTTATGCTACGTTAGAATAATGAATTTCAGAATCCATATTTGAAAACAAAATAGTTCATTGAGTTGTGTTACTTCTGCAGCAAATATGTCAACAGCAGGTCTTAAAATCAGTGAGGAAATGTGACCCAGATAAGCTACAGGGCTAAGCAAAGCAGCTGATCTTAGCAAGTTTAACAGCTTTTCTTCAGAGAAGGCGGCAAGGGCAGTCAAAGTTCCCTATAATTCCATACTTCCAAGTCTCAGTCATCTAATTTTTATGTACAAAAGAACTTAAAAACTTGACATATGAAAAAACCAAAAAAGTACAAATATTTACCAAGGAATGCCCCACATAATGTAATTTATGTCCTGTTTTATTTTTCACATACTGGAATGAAGCAGGAAGATCATATGCAACCAATTCATCCCATGACCAGTCCCAGTAAGCCTAAATATCATAGAAGATCATAGGTATTGTTAGTAAAAGAGTATAATGCAGATGGCATGATGTGATGAACATTTGCAGAAGCAAAGTGAACCGGATCTTTAGGACTAAGCGATGTGTGTCCGCGGCTAGAGCTTGTCCCACGACTGTTGACAAGCCATACATCAAAACCATTGTCAGCCAAGATATATGGCAAAGCCTGATCCGGTGGATTGAGTAGCCATGATGAAGCATCCTGTTGCCAGTGCCACACAATTGTTCTTTAGTTTATTTATGTCATGTATATATGCATGCTCAAACATAGTGTGCTTAGGTGCAAACCAGGAAGACCCCATGTTGTAACAGAACAGGCAGCTTGTCTGCTGTCTCATTACCAGATCGTCCATTCGGAATCCTCTGCAAGCCAAGGATGTACCCATCTGCTGTTGTTACCTTAAACCCATCAAAAGTTCCATGACAAAGGAAAACAAAATTTAATCAGTCAATGTCAAAGAGTGACATATATAAACTGAAAAAGATGGAAGTAAGGCTGGCATTTTCGACACTTGATAATTACTTTGTGTTCTTGGCAAGTATAGCCTTGTGTCTCCACCATTGACTTGCAAATCCCATCATCCAGATTGTTGATTGAGTTCAACTTTGTTCTTGTTGCTGCAACTGCTGAAACACAGAGTAGAGCCAAAAGAAGTAGAGTGGTTGAAGGGTTAGACATTTTGAGCTTGGTTGTCTCTGAGTGCAACAATTTAGAATTTTTAAAGCTTTTTCCTGAGAGTGGTTGAAGGGTTATTGTTCATTGTTAAAAAATTGTTGCGTATGTTCAATAGCTTGAGCCAATATTTAATGCAGGTCCAGTGTCATTATATTGCATACTTACCTAGAGACTAGACAGATTGTGTGCCTTACTGATATGTATTTCTAATGAAGCAAATTTATTTTGTACACGTCATGAATTGTTCTCTCCCTATCTGTCAGTCATAATGAGTCACATTAACTAGTCAAAAGACCCTTTTACCCACTTTGAGTTTGAAGTCAGCCACAAATTCTTCACTGAAATGTCTTTCTACCCTATCAATTTTTTCTTGCCAAATTGGGATTCTTTGGTTGTAACTTGTAACATCAGAAACCCTCTTATTTTTGCAATAGATTACAAAAGTAGCTAAAGTCTCAATGGAGCCTGAAGAAGGCCATTAGAGGATCATACACAACTTGATTGGCATTCATACTTAAAATAAAATCTATATGAGCATACTCCTCTCTGTACTGTACCACAAGCTTGTCCTTGTCATGATCTTTGAGGTTGTCAAGCAAAAGCCCTACATCATTAGCATCAGAAAGTTTATCTCTCAATCCGTAGCTGAGGAAAAGAGGAACGTTTTTCGGAATGTTTGTCATGTTGTACGCAGGAGGAGTAGGCTGATTGTAGTGTTCCATGTTTGTGTCTTCGAGATCATAATCGTGCATTTTGAGCGTTCCCCTTCTGACCACTTTTCAAAATCCATAGACAGGAGCAAACATTGAAATTTTATAAGAATTTAATTTACTTAGAGAGGATTTCTGGGAACTTAAAGCTTCAAAATTCAAATGCTATTGTTTTTACTTTTTGTTGCACTTACAACTCACCATTACTGAACCTAGAAATGAAAGAGACTTACTCTGAGACAGATGTATAAAGTTCTTTGTCGCAGTGGGCTCGGGGAAATGCTTAAATAAAGCATCTTTGCTTGAAGAACTGAGGCAGCAATTTGGGCCTATAGATTGCAAGGGGAAAAAAATTAAGTCAATCAGCAATGGAGTTAAAAATAATTAAAAAATTCAAGTTATGAGTGTGAATCATTAACTCTAACATTGTTACTACCTGTTATAGTTGTCAATAAGTTGGAGCAGTCAATGCCTGGTAGTGTGCAGATAAACTCCACAAGTTGTTGTGTCTGCCTGTTGGAATTTTGAGGGAAAAAAAAAAAGTTGTTATTGATGTCATCTGTCACAAATCACACAATTTTGTACCAAATTGAAACTTATGATATTGTCTGCATCTGTCTTAACAACTGAAGCAAAACAGCTTAAGTTGCTATCTCACCCGTTTGGGAATTCATGTAAACCCAACAATTTCAGTTTCTGTTTAACAAAACAAGAGAACATTTTGGTCAGTTATTCTATTTTTCTAACAATAAATTTCAGAATCCATATTTGAAAACAAAAAAGTTCATTGAGTTGTGTTACCTCTGCTAAAAATATGTCCATTAGAATTCTTACAAACAGTGAGGACATCTGACCCAGATAAGCCACCGGAGCAAGCAAAGCAGCTGATCTTAGCAAGTTTAACAGCTTTTCTTGGGAGAAGGCGGCAAGGGCAGTCAAAGTTCCCTATAATTCATTACTTCAAGTCTTAGTCATCTACTTTTATATGTCTAACAAAATTCAAAAGCTTGAATTATGAACAAAAGTACAAATATTTACCAAGGAATGCCCAACATAGTGTAATTTCTGTCCTGTTTGATTGTTCACATAGTGGAAGAAAGCCGGAAGATCATGAGATGCCAATTCATCCCATGACCAGTCCCAGTAAGACTACATATCATATAAGATAATGCATTAGTATGAGATCATGATGCAGATGGCATGATGTGATCAACGTTCAAAAAGGCAAAGAGAACCGGATCATCATCAGGACTAAGCGATGTGTGTCCGCGGCTAGACTTTGTCCCGCGAGAGTTGGCAAGCCATACATCAAAACCATTATCTGCCAAGATAAATGCCAAAGATTGATCTGGTGGATTGAGTAGCCATGATGAAGCATCCTGTTGCCACACACAATTGTTTTTTAGTTCATTCATGTCTTGCACATGTATATGTATGCATGCTCAAATACATTGTGTGCCTAAGTGCAAACCAGTAAGAGCCCATGTTGTAACAGAACAGGCTGCCTGTCTGCTATCTCATTACCAGACCGTCCCTTTGGAATTCTCTGCAAGCCAAGGATGTAACCATCTTCTGTTGTTACCTGAAACTCATCAACAGTGACAAAAACATTGATATCTGTCACATAAACTGAAAAAGATAGAAATAAGGCAGGAAGTACTTTCTGATGCTTACTTGATGTTCTTGGCAAGTATAGCCTTGTGTCTCCACCATTGATTTGCAAATACCAACGACATCCAGATTGTTGATTGACTGCAGCTTAGTTCTTGTTGTTGCAACCACTGAAACACAAAGTAGAGCCAAAACAAGTAGAATGGTTGGAGGATTTTCCATTTGAATTTAAGATGTCTCTGTGTGCAACAGTTGTTACAGACTGTGTTATTTATAGTAGACGAAAGCTATCAAACAGATTATTGTAACACAGGCCTTCAGTTTAACCAAGACACTGATATTTATGGCAGGATCCAGTGTCATTCTATCATTCACCATTTGGAAAAAGATGTAGGCTCACTAAGGCACACTCTTTTTTGGCCACATCAGTTAATCATAATCAGCCACATTTCACCCATTAAAATTCAGCTCCAAATTCTTCACCCAAATGCCTTTCTCTTTCAGTTTCTTCTCTCCAAATTTTCTTGTTTAAATGCCATGCAGCTCTGTTTAAAAAATTTCATTAAAAATTGTCCATGCTGCTGATACTCTTAATTGCCAAAAACGATTAAGCCGGACACTGTCCATTCTGTTTATGAAAGGTATGGAGCTGATTGTGCCAGACATAAATATCGCCAAAAACGAATGTCTCTTTCAAGTTTCGGATTTTAATCAAATGAAACAAAAACTTCATCCCAACGTAGAGTGTCCATAACTTATGAACAGACCATCATTTTCATAAACATAAAATTTCTGGTAATTGAAAATTGGTGTTTATGATGATAATACAATAGGTGGTTTACAATGAAACTAAAATGGGTGGTTTTCTTTTGGTCACGCTCTGTCACTGTCTATTGGAGACTTGGAGTTGACAGTTTTTGAAACTTCCTTTTGTTCAGCACTAGTTTTTATGTGTAGAAAATATATTTCCTTGTATAAAACAGATTACACAAAGTCCCTATTTATACTAGTACAGGATATCTACTTAAGGTAAAAAATAATGAGTACTGCTATTTCCACCCCACCTGTCCTATTTTCCCACCCACCTTATCTTCCCACTCACCATGTAAATTTGAAAAAAATAAAATCTTATCTTTCCACCCACCATTATTCCTAAAACACCCTTAAATTATTAAAATAAACTAATAATAAAATAACATTTTAAAAAAAATAAAAAACAAAAACAAAAACCCTCTCTCCCCCCTTCCCGACGCAACCCCCACCTCTTCACACTCCTCCACCATGGCTTGAGAAAAATTCTCAAAAATACTTAGTTATTTGTGCAGAGCTTCTTCAACCTCTGCGCGAAATTGGGGTTAAGGGTCAGAGTTGCAAGACGAAGCCACGATTAATACCAAAAAAAAGCGAATTCACCTATAGTCTTATATCAATCTGTCAGAGACAAATAACCCAAATAAGAAAACACTAATTCACCAAGAATTCAGAAGATAAAAAAAAAACATAAACAAAAATCTAGAAAGAAAAAATAGTACAGAAGCAAAGGAAGAGGCTTTAATCTCATACACCAAGTGAGTTTTTTTAAAAGAGAAACGATTGTATTAAAAGGGTGGATAAAGCATCCACAACACTTGATTTATTATTATTATTTTTTTAAAAGCAACCACAGCCAACAAAAAATGAGACCACAAGAAAGAATTGAAAAATAAAAACAGAGGAAACGAGGAACACATATTCATTTCACCGCTGCCACCAAATCCAACACAATGAAAAAATGTTGTTTTATTTTTATTTTAGTTTATTGTTTTATTTGAAATGATATTAAAAAAGTTTTTACCTTAGGTCTTTAAAAGTCATTTTACACAAGTATAAATTTATTTTAAAATTTTGAAAATGAGGCGGGTGGGAAAATAGGACAGGTGGGTGGAAATAGCAGCACTCAAAATAATATAGACATGAATACAATCCGATTTACAGCAAGAAATCTGATTTATAGTAGGAAAGGCTAATTTCTAGGAGGAGATTGTGAAGTTGACTTCTGCGTGTGCTAGGAAAGGAAAGTTGCGTTAACACCCCCGGGAAAACTGGGCGTCACAGGATGCACAAGTTTGGAAGACATATGTTGATGGCGTGGTTTGTGAAGGGCTTTGGTGAACAGGTCCACAGGTTGGTCAACATAAGGAACAAAGCAAACTTGATGACTTCCAAGAGCAACCTTTTCAAGTACAAAGTGATAGTCCAACTCAATGTGACGTGTGCAGGCATGGAGAACTAGATTGGCAGCCATGTACGTGGTGCTGAGATTGTCACAAAAGAGTTGGATCGGGAACCGAAGACGCACACCCAATTCATGAAGAAGGGAGCAGAGCCATGTGGTTTCGACACAAGCATGAGAGAGGGCACAATATTCCGACTATGTACGTACGAGACTGTGGCCTGTTTCTTGGAACACCATAAGATGAGGTTAGTTCCAAGAGTAATCACATATCCAGTGGTTGACCGACGAGAATTAGGGCACCCAGCCCAATCCGCATCAGAGTAAGCGGAGAGACGAGCTGCGGCAGTTTGAGGAGTGAAGGTGAGGCCGAGATCAATAGTGCCCTTGATGTACCTAAGTATCCGTTTAGCGGCAACAAGGTGAGAGGTGCGAGGGGCACTCATGAACTGAGCAATAGTGTTGATGGCAAAAGATATGTTAGGGCGAGTAAGAGTGAGATACTGTAAACTGCCAACAAGCTCACGATACTCGGTTGGGTTGGAGATGAGAGCACCATCAGAGATAGAGAGGAGAACCTTGGCAGCCAATGGAGTATATGCGGGTTTGGAGTTGAGAAGATTGGCTTTCTGTAAAAGATCATGTGCATATTGGAGTTGATTGATGTGGAAAGTACCATCCTTATGAAGAACCTGTAAACCCAAGAAATAGCTTAGCGGACCAAGGTCTTTGATGTCAAAGTGGCCACCTAAAACAGAGATGAATTGTTGGAGATGAGTGGAATCACTGCCAGTTACCACGATGTCATCGACATATAGAAGAAGAAAGATGGTATGGGAGGCCTGTTGAAAAATAAATAATGAAGTGTCAGCTTGGCTCCGGTTTCAAATCTCTCTCCAAATAAAAAAATAATAACTGATAAACTTATAGTCGGCACAAGTTACAACTCAAAGAAATATCCAAGAAACATTTTTTTTTTTTTGTAGAACATTTTTAATTTCTTTATTACATTGGAAAAGCTAGTAATAAGTTTATGGCAAGCATATATATTTGATTTTTCAATATTTTGTTATTCGAATATCATGTAAATGGAAGCAGCTATAACATCAGAAATATATCAATTCACTTTTAATTTAGTTGGAAACAAATATAAATATGAATAAAATTGGAAGAAGCAATGAAATTATTGTTTGATCCATTCAACTTTTTCCTAATGAGCTAAGAAACCAAAAATCTCCACTCTCTCTCTCTCTCTCTCTCTAACAAACTGAACGTAACATCCTCAAGCTAAGGCTTGCAAGAGCGTTATAAAAGCAAGAAAAAGACAAGGCCTATTGGTCATGACAACGTTCTCATTCATTTATGAAATAACAGAAGAAAAGCAAGTTTCGTGAAAACTACAAACTCTTGCTCTTGTAGTAGCTTACACAATTTCCGTGTGATATGCCAGAGCACACTTTCAACTCCTAACTACATATATGTATAAGCTGAGCAAGCCCCGAAAACCCAGCATTGCCAACTTAGGAGAGTGAGGTACGTTATGAGAAGCACAGCAAAGAAGCTTAAGAGGATGGAGAAGCTCATCAATTTGGTTAGCAAGCTGAAGATGTTGGGGTGCTCAGCTGACAGGAACCTTAATCAGCAAGTTAACGTTAGAGCTTCACCGCCTTGTGCTGTTCGCTGCGAAGAGCTTTTCTTGCCTTCGAAAAGTGCAAAGGGCCATCGAACAAGAAACAATCATGTCAATCCTTTTTTAGCAGTTCATGCTGCAGCTCAGAATCATTTTGCTCTCAGACCAAACATCTGTATTTGAGAAGACAGAGATGGCAAGGTTTCTGAGTTATTGTTGAGTCTTCTGTCTTGTAATGATCTTGGTGGAAAAGAGAGCTTGTTTGATCCTCTCAGTGAGCTAATTATATTAACAGTTGAAGCTGCCTAGTTTTTCATTGCCTTTTCATAATTATATGGTAATATGAAGCCTAACATTACAGCACATGCTCATCCAGATGCAAATAATCTGTAATATTCTGTTCTGTGATTAATTTGTTTTTGTTAATCATATAATTAGCCTCTAATTAAGGGCACCTAATGCAGCATTTGAAAAGCATGTTCAACCTGCCTACCTACCACAAGCCTTGTAGACATAGTTATAAATCTCATTATTAATGGTGAACAAAACCCTACAGAAGGCAATATGTTATAGACTGCAAAAGTAACTAAACTCTCAATGGAGCCTGAAGAAGGCCAGTAGAGGACCATACACATCTTGGTTGGCATTCACACTCATAATAAAATCCACATGAGCATACTCCTCTCTGTATTGTACCACAAGCTTGTCCCTGTCATGATCTCTGAGCTTGTCAAGCAAAATCCCCACATCGTTAATGTCAGCAATCGAATCTCTCCCTCCATAGCTGAAGAAAAGAGGAACGTCTTTCGGAATGTTTGCCATGTTGTACACAGGAGGAGTGGGTTTCTTGTAGTGTTTTATGTTAGTGTCTTCAAGACCATAATCATACATTTCTACGGTTCCCTTTCTGACAACTTTCCAAAATCAAAAAACAAGGAGCAAAAATTGAAATTTTGTAAGAACTTAATTAAATTAGTTAGGATTTTTGAGAACTGGAACTTTCAAAACAGATACTACAGTTTCTATTATACTTTAGATATTACAACTCACCATTACTGAACCTGGAAATGAAAGAGACTTACTCTGAGACAGATGTATAAGGTTTTTCGTCGCAGTTGGCTGTGGATCATGTTCAACTAAAGCATCTATGTTTGAAAAATTGAGGCAGCAATTTGGGCCTGGAGATTGCAAAAACAAAAAACAAAAAATCAATTCAATCAAATAAAAGTGTGAATGAGCAAGCCTAACATTGTTACTACTACCTCCTATAGCTGCCAGGAGGTTCGAGCAGTCAATGCCCCGTGTTGTGCAGATAAACTCCACAAGTTGTTGGATCTGCCTGTTGGGATTTTGAGAAGAACAAAATATCTAAAACTTTGTACCAAGTTAAGTTTATGATATTATCTGCATGATGTGATCAATGTTCAAAAAGGCAAAGAGAACCGGATCATCATCAGGACTAAGCGATGTGTGTCCGCGGCTAGACTTTGTCCCGCGAAAGTTGGCAAGCCATACATCAAAACCATTATCTGCCAAGATAAATGCCAAAGATTGATCCGGTGGATTGAGTAGCCATGATGAAGCATCCTGTTGCCACACACAATTGGTTTTTAGTTCATTCATGTCTTGCACATGTATATGTATGCATGCTCAAATACATGGTGCCTAGGTGCAAACCAGTAAGCCCCCATGTTGTAACAGAACAGGCTGCCTGTCTGCTATCTCATTACCAGACCGTCCCTTTGGAATTCTCTGCAAGCCAAGGATGTAACCATCTTCTGTTGTTACCTGAAACTCATCAACAGTGACAAAAACATTGATATCTGTCACATAAACTGAAAAAGATAGAGATAAGGCAGGAAGTACTTTCTGATGCTTACTTGATGTTCTTGGCAAGTATAGCCTTGTGTCTCCACCATTGATTTGCAAATACCAACAACATCCAGATTGTTGATTGACTGCAGCTTAGTTCTTGTTGCTGCAACCACTGAAACACAAAGTAGAGCCAAAACAAGTAGAATGGTTGGAGGATTTTCCATTTGAATCTAAGATGTCTCTGTGTGTAACAGTTGTTACAGATTGTGTTATTTATAGTAGACGAATGCATATCAAACAGATTATTGAAACACAGGCCTTCAGTTTAACCAAGACAATAATATTTATGGCAGGATCCAGTGTCATTCTATCATTCACCATTTGGAAAAAGATGTATGGCTCACTAAGGCAAACTCTTTTTTGGCCACATCAGTTAATCATAATCAGCCACATTTCACCCATTAAAAGTCACCTCCAAATTCTTCACCCAAATGCCTTTCTCTTTCAGTTTCTTCTCTCCAAATTTTCTTGTTTCAATGCCATGCAGCTATGTTTAAAAATAGAGATATTTAGTCATATATCCATTCTTAGCACTAATAATATAGATATACCCTACACCATTTAATTTCTATAAACAAATCCAAAAAAAAACCGAAAAAATGACAGCTGGCCCCATTGAATTTAATTTTGATTATTAAATTACTTTGATGCCCTATTGAGTGTTTTGGGCTTTTTTATGAGGTTTTGGGGTTGGGTTTGTTTAAGAAATCAATGGCAGTTTTGTAATTTAAAAGAAGTTAAAAGTTTTTTTTGTTATGTTGTAAGTCCATTTCATATAGGGTTTTTTTTTTTAATTTGGACTCCCATATCGGGCATAATAGTGAATCTCCCTTAAAAAAAATTCATTAGAAATTGTCCATGCTGCTGATACTCTTAATCGCCAAAAACGATTTAGCCGGACATTGTCCATTCTGTTTATCAATGGTATGGAGCTTATTGCACTGGACATAAATATCGCCAAAAACGAACGTCTCTCTCAAGTCTTGGATTTTAATCAAATGAAACAAAAACTTCATCCCAACGTAGAGTGTCCACAACTTATGAACTGACCATCATTTTCATAAACATAAAATTTCTGTTAATTGAAAATTGGTGTTTATAATGATAATACAATAGGTGGTTTACAATGAAACTAAAATGGGTGGTTTTCTTTTGGTCACGCTCTGTCACTGTCTATTGGAGACTTGGAACAGTTTCCACCGTTTCCATGTTCACCAAGTTTTGAAACTTCCTTTTGTTCAGCACTAGTTGTTATGTATAGCTTTGAATTATTTGTACTATATTCCTGATAAAGAACAAGTTACACTACAAGAAAGCTCACACATGTACTGCATACTGCTTAACCCGCAAGGCATTATTTTCAAGTCTAGAATTTGTATAATTTTGCGCGGTGTCAAATGGAAAAGAACTTTTTGACGAGTAAATATTCTCATTGAAGTTTTAAGAAGGCCATGAGAGGATCATACACATCTTGCTTAGCAGTTTGACCCATGACAAAATCTGCATGAGCATAATCATCTCTGTACTGAACCACAAGCTTATCTCCATCATGATCTTTGAGGCTGGCCAGCAACAGCTTCACATCTTTGACATCAGAAAGAGCATCTGCCCCTCCATAACTAAGGAAGAGAGGAAGGTCATTTGGGATGCTTGTCATGCTGTACACTGGAGGATTGGGCTGCCCATAGTGTTGCATGTTCTCATCCTTGTTATTATAGTCAAACATTGCAACTGTTCCATCTCTTATCACTGTACACAAAACACAGGATTGAATTTGATTTTTAATCTTATTTTGAGCACACATAAAAAACATTTGCTTTTATAATTTGAAGATTTTTCCATGGTGTTTGTGAATCAGAAATTAAGAGGACTTACTCTGAGATATATGGACCAAGTTTTTTGTTGAGGTTGACTGAGGCTCATGGTCCAGAAAAACATCTACTATGGAAGAGTTTAAGCAGCAATTCTTGCCTTCAGTTGCCAAAAAAAAAATAGTCAATAGAAGAATGTTTAATTGCTAGTAACAATGTTAGGGACATCTGTGCTACCTGTGAAAGCGGTCAACAAGTGAGTGCAGTCAACACCTGGTTTACTGCAGACAGCCTTGAGAACTTCGACTAGTGCCTTCCTGTTCGTATGGGGAAACATAAACAGACCAGATTATAGTTCATCAAATTAATAGGAATGAATATTATGTCTGTAACTAGGCTTCGCTTGGAGACATTGGAAAAGCACACGTCAATTTGTATATGCAAATAAATTTGAATCAGAACTCTCGAGTCTTCTCGAAAACTTTTAAGGAATATAACATCGAAAAGTTAGAAGCATTTGGAGAAATCGTAAGTTTCTTAAAGTACAAGATAAAATATTATACTGCTGTACTTGGTAAACAGTGGTTTGAGAATCGTAAAGAACAAGTGAACACGAATTGTTACCCTTTTGGATTAAACTCTCTGATATCTGTCTTGTATAATGCCTGTTAGAAGAAGGTAATAGGTTGTCAAAGAGTTGATTTCTTTTGGACAACTAAAATAACTAGAAAAAGGGATTTGCTCTTACCTCAGCAATAAAGTTTTCAGCAGCAGCTCTTGCAAGGGGTGAAGGTATCTGACCAACATAAGCAATCGGGCTAAGTAAGACAGCTGATCTCAATCTAGTCAGTTGCTGGTCTTTGCAAAAAGCACCAAGAGCTACCAAAGTTCCCTACCAAAAATAATAATAATAATAATTCCATTAATATTGTGTCTTTAGAAAAAAATATATATTTTTTTTTAAAAAAGTCCCAGAACAGAACAGAACAAAACTTCAGAGTTTGTGAAATTCACCAGTGAATGTCCAACATAGTGAATTTTCTGTCCTGTTTGATCATGTACATACTGGAATGTAGCTGGAAGATCATAAGCGACCAATTCATCCCATGACCATTCCCAATAAGCCTGAAAAACGAGCAAAATGGCATCTAATATGAAAAACAATATGGCGTTTGTGTTATTGAGCATTTTCATGTTTTCACAAGTAACCAAGAAAAGAATGGCACGTAGTTACCGGATCATCGGGACTGAGTGATGTATGGCCGAGGCTATATTTGGTGCCGCGGGTGTTGCCAAGCCAGACCTCATACCCATTATCAGCCAAGAGGAATGCCAAAGATTGGTCAGGAGGTAGTAGCAGCCATGTTATCCCATCCTGCCCACCACACCATATAAAAAAACTGTTACATCTAACCAATTTACTGAACCTATTGAAGATTTCAAGTTACCGGCGCAGAATTACTGACCATCAGCAGCCCGTGTTGTAGAAGTACCGGTATCCGGTTTCCGGATGCCTCCCCTGACTTTCTAACTGGAATTCTCTGCATACTGAGTATATAGCCATCTTGTGTTGTTACCTATAGAACCCAAAAATGCAACTTTCAGTCAATATTTAGTGTGAATAGCTCTTGATAAACTGAGCAGCAACAAAGGCAGACACATAACTGTGTGTTCTTCACAAGCATAGCCATGAGTTTCCACCATTGTTGCACAGATGCCATCATTGGCAGATGGAGCCAATGCAGAAGTAGCATCCTGACCATTATTGGCTGAGAGTAGCTTTGTTCTTGCTCCAACTGCTGACTCACAGAAAAGAAGAATGACTAGAATACTAGAGGCTAAAATGTTATTACCCATCATCTTCGTCATGTGTTTCATTAATTGTTTCCTGATAGAATCACCTTTATGGCTCTTACATATTTTTTATAGGTACAGAAAAACCAGATAAAAACAGAATTGGGGTGTTCACATGAGCTCATACACCTCCTTTCGTCAACAGATTGCCTTAGTGGTTTAAACTACACAGTTAATCTAAGGCATCTTCGTGGGACCTACCCCCTTCCAAATTTAAAACAATTAAAAACTACATCAACCTCGGATTTCGTCGCTGCCACGATTCCATATTTTAAAAAGAATTTCCTCTGTTAGTTCAAACCTAGTCCAAGAGTGTAAGCCAAAACATGTTCATGTCCAGAGACTCATACGTTGTCACTGTTTGTTTTGTCTAATTAGTTAGAGATTAAGACGTACTGCCAATGGAGGCATAGAAAGCTAAAACCCCATTGCCTCATTTCACACATGGCGAATAAAAAGAGTTCTTACATTCATGTAGATTTCATTTTTAGCACATTATAATCTGACCAGAGAGAGAAAGAGAGAGCACATAATAACAAACGAGGTACCTTTTACAAGGCTCTAATCACAAAACCATGCCACAATGGAGATAAAAAACAAAGCCAAACTTCATAAAACCCCCGACACTTTCTTTGGTTGAGAGAAACTATCAAACTAATAAGGGCTCAAACACTTTCCTCCTGTGTGGCCAATCAGAGTTAAAAACCACCAATACTTTCATTTCCAGTCAACCATTTTCTGCATAAACGAGGTACTTTAAGCAAGCGTACCTCATCTCTCACACAGATTGCGCTCAGGAATCAAATGAAACCAGAAGGAAAAAAATTCATCAACTGGTCTATTTCAAGCAGTTAGCGAGTACAAAGCGGATTCATTTACGCATATCTTGATTCACAACAAGAAAGGCAATGCTGAATCTAATTCCTTTTTATGATTCTCATCATTTATCTTATGTTTCAATAAATACCTGCACAAAAAATAAAACCGTTAACAACTATAAAGTTCTATCAACAATCTTTTTTCCATCAGGCTTTCTCAGCATACAAAAATCTGTCATGATTTATGCTTGCTAACAAGATTGGTGCGATTCTCCAAAATTAGGTGGGGTATGAGTGTCCTTTATCTTCTCTAAAGTTTTGACTGCATTGTCTTGAGTTCTTGGTCTGATCAATGATCTCCTGAGCAATTGCCACCTTTTAGGTTTAATTTGCCCTAGCAATTTCATCTGCTCCCTTCTGAACTTCCTATTTGCATACCACCTTCCACCTCGCCAACCCAAAGCGTAACTGCAATTCAGTTAAAAAGGTGGACATGTAAAAAGCCTGAATAGTTCAATATTTCTAGTTTCATTTGGAGAGGCAATTATATTTCAGACAAGGAAATTAAGATTTAGTAACAAACCCGACAACCAAAGTGGTTCCGGCAGTGGCTATGCATGAAGGAATACCAATACTTCCAGAATTAACAATGTTTCTAATTTCCGAATGTTCCAGATTATGATTGCTTTTCATCTGCTACCAAAACATAAACAAACATCCAAATGTAAGCATAACCAAAATCTAACTAGAAAAATTAAGAATGAGATCTGGCTCACATAATGCCTTATCCTACCATAAAAAAATATTAACAACATAAATGGGATGAAAAAAGGAATACAAGACATGGATAATATAACTAACAGGAAGAAAAAAAAATCCTTGTCCGTTCAGGGCGACTTCAAAACCCAACAGTGTTTTTGTAAAGAGTTTAGCAATATACCAAGTGAAATGTCAACAGTTTTCAATATTGTCCTTACAGCTTTTTCGATTGATTCGAGCCTTTGATCAACTCTTGATTCATGTACATGACGTAAAGTATATCCTGCACCCATAACAGATGTGTATTGGATAAGACATTCTTTTCTAACATGCCATTGAGAGAGACAATAGTAATAAGGTTCAAGGAAAACTTTTGCACCTCAATGCATTAGCAGACCAAATTTTTTAAATTATAATGAATCTTTCAATCATAGATAAATAAGTTAGTCAAAGAACAACATAAACCATAATATGTTTTCTTGAAGATGCCTATATAGTTCATCCATATCCAGAAATGATTAATAATTGATTATATCATAACTTCATAAGTTTGGCACTCTGCAAATCTAGCACTAGAACTCACCTATGACTAGAAAATATTGTATATCTGAAATTTACATGTTATAACATACTGGAATCATTTTGTCCATGTTCACCCAACTTGTAATTCGGATTAAGACTTCATACCCATGTTTGGTAAACTTATCAAATACGTTTGATTGACCCAAAGCTCAGGTTGAATTCAAGTTCATCCAACTGAAGTCGCACTATCAAGGCTTGCAAAAACCCATTTGCCCTTTTATGTGAAGGCTAGTTTAAGGGAATTTGTATATTTACCTTACAATTTGCTCATTATACCTTACACTTATTGAAATAAGGTGAAGTGCCGTGAGAAAATTGTAGGTTACAAAAACTTTCCTTAATTTGAATTAAGGATGGTTTCAAACAAATTACAACGCACTGTCTGCCAAAATTGCAAATCGCGATTGAAGTTGAGTGCCAAAATGTCACTCTTTTCACCATATAGCTAGCTAAACTCAAAATACTAATCATTAACTCACGCCCTTTATCAATTTGACGATCATAAACAAACACATACGCAGAAAAGCAAAACAAAATTGAGAATTAAAAAGTGGCAGAACAAAAAATTCACAAAGAAACTCACCAAACCATGCTGTGGCAACTGAAGCTATGGAAGTTCCAACCGTAAATACAACCTTATGCGTTTCAAATATATCCTAAAACATTCAGCAAAAAGAAAAAACAAAGCGTTTAGAAACCCCCACAAAACTGCACCAAAATCGAAGGCAATTGGTACCCATTAGCTCAAACTCAAAGAAAACCCCAAAAATTAGATAAAGCAAGTACTTTGGTTGAAAAAAAAGTGTCCTGAACAGCTGCCCATGATCTGAAAGCTTTCTTCCTTAACTGGGTCACGGGTAGAGAGCGCGAAATTACGGTCCCTGCGCCTCTAAGTCGCTGCATGGTGCATTCTAGGGGAAAACCAACACGGTAATTCTGGGAGGGTAAAAAGAAGGCAAGGCCTCAACCTTTCCCTTTCTTCTTCCTTGTTTCACCTCTCCTCTTTGGGTCGTTTATTGGTCAAGAATCAAGATCAGATGTGCTCTCAATGAGTTCATCACTCTTTAAACAGTCAGGGAGTCCATAAGAGCATTTCCAGCAGTGCAGCCGGGGGGGGGCCAAGCCCAAAATCGTGTTTCCAGCAACAAACTTTGGCCCGGGCAAGCAGTGGGGCCTACCGAACTGGGCTGGCCCTCGGGCAAGGCTAGCCCCAGGTCCAAAACGAGGGCAAGGCTGACGTCAGTGATGACGTCAGCGTGCGCCAACTGTAATGTGCTATGTGTCACTCCATTTACTTAAATTTACAATGTAAATAAGGAAGTACCCCTTATTTGGATTCAAATAAAAATACTAGAAAATTAAATTCTCACCAAATCAAAATATGAAAAATCGGTTTTGCAAAATACAATTTAGGCTAAAAATGATGGCTCATTAAGTCAATATATACTTCATAATAAAATCCCATAAAATCAAGTTTTCTTATTTGA